AATTTGATAATTCTTCTATCTTGTTATTATTTGAAATCTTTATTTAAATCTCACTCGATTAAATACCCATTGCAGATACTAAAATGGTCAAACGAGAAGATCAGATGAAACCCAATTAAAAGATCCAATCTGATTTCCAATCTCCTCTGGGGCTACTGCTGGATGATTTATTTACCAAAATTATGTTGCTCAGATTAGAGCCGATCAGTACATGTTTAAGATGTGCAGGAATTAACATCGGTATTCCTATTGTCTATCGTCCTTGAGGTATAGTTTATCTACTGCATTTGTACAGTCAACTGTTACCATGGTAAACGGACCAACTAAGTAAAAGAAAGGTAAAAAGGAGTCAGAGAACCGATATGCCGCTCTTTCATAATTAAGAAATATGATCTGCTCAGCTGTGCGTTAATTTAGGGATCTATAAACAAAGGATTATAAACAGAACCTCCGCATGTTCTTCCAAGCCACATTATACTTCCAGTATCCTTTGCTGTTGAGATATTTAGCCCTAACATCAACTCATGTTACAAAACACAAAAAGCAAATTGTACAAGACTTGGGTCACAAGTACGGTTGTCACCCATTGCGGGGGAAAAGACCGAGGTATATAGCTGATCACATTCCTTCTACAATATTTATCAGACTACAGCAATCTTGCTAATTGAAAAGTTGCACAGGTCGTTTTTTACAATTTATTTAAGCGAGATGTTTTGTCCACACTAATTCATCCATGTTCTGTAATCATCAATGTAGACCTTGTTCCCATTACAAGTGACATGTAAGAACCCATCAACGACCCTTTGTCAAAAGTTTACAAGGTTAATGGAGGAATTGTCAAGCACAATGAGAACCTCATTACTGATTTTATGTTAATGTTTCCAATTTATCTGGTATTTGATAAAATAAACATGACCATCACCTTTTGGATGCTGTTATATCAACGCAAGTGGAATGTATCAGATGTATTCTTGACAAATATAACTCTCAATTTAATATTTCCGGATATGAATTGGTATAATGAACAAATAATGATGAAACATGTTTTGCATACATTTTGGTTTTTGCTTCATTCTAAAATCAACATTGGATTCTGCAACCTTCTCAAGAGTCTAAAAGTATGTGAAAATCATGACATTTGTCTATGATACCATGAGAATTGGACCTATGAATTAATCGATTGACTTGAATCATTTATAGCCATGATCGTTGAGCAGTTGAAAGAAGAAGGCCAGCTGGCCTCACAAGATGTGTTAGTACTAATCCAGAGTTAGAAGATGTATTGGTTAAACAACAAGCACAGATTACACATCGAAACTTTCTTGGTTGGTTTTTTAATTCATTTGTAGTAGATTTGTAATTTCAAATCTTGAATATCTATCAGCTTTATTCGTGACAAATTAATTGAGAAGTAGCAATTCAGTTTTTTAAACTATAGTTTCGTATTCCTTTCAGGATTCTTTCTCTGCTATCGCATCAGAGCTCGATAAATCCTGCTCTAAGACGAAACAAGAATTTCAAGGCCTTCCTCAAACGATGTAAGTTTTCAGCCCAAATTCTCCTCTGCTCAAGATCTCCTTGAATTTATTATTATTTCACACTGGTGAAAGCGGTTGGTAAGAAATGTGGAATATGTGTAATAGCGATTACTATTGCTTTTTTATAACCGAATTATGTCACAAATACAGTTAAAAATTCAGATGAGGAGCCTTTCGAAGATCTTAAGGGATTTAGGACCGTTACAGTGATTTTTCAGAATTGCAAAATCATTGAAGAGTGCCTTTGGCGAAGTTTGCAAGTGGTAAGAACATATAGAACATTATCAGTATAGTCATTCTCTGTGTAAAGCAAATTGATTTTGGCGGTTTGAACTGTTACTTTTGTATTAATTTCAGTGACGTTTAAAAGGTAATAGTTTAGATTTATGGTACAATCCAATCTATGATCTATATCAATTCCATTTTATCTGGTGAGGCACAGGAGAAGAATAGGCAATCTATGCCATGGAAGCGCTCAGCAAATCTGAAATGGTTGAGAAACTTCGCAAATTAAATAATTCTATACGGTCATCTAGTTTAATCACGAGGGCCTAGTCTTTTTAATCGGATTTTGAAATGTTGTAGTTTATCGATATTACTTAGTGAATAGACAAGGCCAAGGGATAATCTTACTTCTTGAAATCAATTTTTTATAATCGATACAACTTATTTTCAGGTCCCTGTTCATGCTATAATTGTCATTGTTGACTTAATAAATGAATTCTTAGATTATTAAACTCTAAGTTACTTGAAGTCGCGGCATTGTTTTATTGATCGCAGCTTTAGATAAGACTCTTCATAAGCCCATGTCGCCCATCAGCATTGTCCTAGTCAACTTCTATTGAATAAAAGAATTACATTATACAGAAACCTCAATATTTGCTGGTATTTCTTTCCAGGAGCTATCGCCGAGACCGCCTTGTCGCTAACCTTGCACAGTGTAAAAACTACAGCTAGGCTACTCAGGTCTCAGGTGATAAGTAAGCTATTACAGGCACTCTCTCTCTCTCTCTTTTCTGTCCTGGCTCTCTACAGGAGAGAGAGAGAGAGGGGTGTGTGTGCACTGTGCACCGTGGCCGTAGGCAAATATAATTATACATTCACCCAGAATGGAAGTGCTGTGATATGATTATATTACACCGCACATACACGCTGCACTGCTGCTTCTCTTGCATTAAAATATGTAATTACTGTAACGTTTAATTATATATTAATACTAATTTTAAACCCGTGTTAAAAGATGTTAGATGGATGAAAGTTCAAGGTGCTTGTTTTACAGCGTTCGACTGGTTGTATCTACATTATAATGTAGTATTCAATACAGATCACCTCAGATGTAAATCACATGTCTCTGCAGTACATAGGTGTCCTGATGTGCCTAACTTAGGTAAGTAGATATACAAAATACAAATGTCTATTATATATTGGCTCTAAATTAATGAAAACATCCTAACACTGCACTGTTCATGTCGTGCAGTCTGTAGATGCCACGTGACATATCCACGTGTCTCTTCACTATTTTCGTTCTCCTGCACACCTGACAGGATATAACGAGATGTGATTGGCTAGCCGGTTGCAGAGCGGACACACTCGCCTTGCTCTGCATTTAAATACTTTCGCACTGCTCAGAAGGGTACACTCTCCTCCCGAACCACGGTGATGCAGTGAAGTACTTTCACGGTCAAAATTTTTAGGGATTCGTTGACACATTGGTCTCCACTATCCACACCTATTAAAATATCGAGCTTAATACTGTCTTACAGCCTTAGAGGAATGCGTATGTACTTGAATTATAGCATATAATGTACTGCACATGAATATGATAATATATATAACTATATCAGCATACCTACATAACAAGTCAGGAGATAAGATGTTGTCGGTTAGTAAAAACGTGATAATGCTCTTATTGGAAGCCCGTGTAAGAGAGAGAGGGTCTAGGTTAAAACATTTTTTTTTTTCCCTTTCTCCCGGCCCGTGTCTGGGCACAAGAAAAGTAAACATTTACCCCCCACACAGCTCAAGAGGATCAGACACCGCGTATTAGTGGGAGGAGAGCGACATCATGGCCTTCCCGGAGAGCGAGTGGTTAATCAAGTTATTTCTACGCGTTCCAAGCGCCGCTACCTCTACATGGTGATGGAAGTACATGCGGGCGTCGATCTTGTCAACCTCCATGTCTCAGTACGAGATTCGGAAAAATGGGCCAAGTTTTACACGGCCGAGCTAATTGCTGCGTCAATGTCGTGCACGAATGGGCTTCATTCACAGGTGAGTGGCTCTTGGAGGGGCAAGTGACATCAAATACGAGCTACCTAACAGACACGCCATCGGCAGTGCATTTTTTCGTGAAACAATAAAAGAATAAAAACCATTTGCCTATGTTGAACATTAAGTGAATGGCTGTATCCCACGTGACCTACTTATCTATTTCTCAGGGATTCAAACCAGACAAAACCTGTTACTGGACGACAGGGGGTCACATGAAGTTAGCTGATTTTGGGGACCTGAATGAGGGTGGACGAGACGGTCTTTTTAATCCAGCACTGCGGTGGGACACCAGACTACATCTCACCTGAGTAGAGAATAATTTGATATTCCTGTTTTTTGAACTTAGTACTTGCGTTACTTTAAATCGTCCAATAAGCACTGTGGATATGACTGTGTACTGTGTAGGAAATAAATCAAAACGCGTCGATTGTTGTGGAATTCAGGCGTGACTTTAGACAACAGCAGCTTTATTTGACACATGTTATTTCATTCTCTAAAATAGCTTCATTACATAACCATGCTGCGATTGAAATTTAATCGCAATGTCATTTCAATAACAACATAATTATTTAAACATAATTATTACATTAATTTTTGAAAAGTTGATAGGCTGAACGTTTGTATTTCATAGCTAACCCCCAAAACCTAGCTCCCCGTTCTCTTGGCATGTCCCTAACACATCAATTGTGTTCTCCTGAAAGCTAAGTATCTGAATCTTGGGCGGTGAACGTTGAAAAGTGTAATGTAGGGCCATTTATTATGCTAGTTGCGGTGTAACCGTCCTTATTCCTGTAATTGTTGCTCAACTCTGTTGACTCTGAAGTTGGTTCTGAAATGTTACCATAACCTGGCTTTAATGTATTTCATATCAAGCAAATTTGTTGTTTCAACATTGGGTTTAAAGATTGCAAGAGTTGTTTAAAACTTCTTGCGCTTAAAAATTCATGAACTTTTTATAAGACTTTTCTATAAATTGGAACAATCAGCTCAGTTCATTTCATTCAATCTGTAACTTGAAAGTGTTGCAATGAAATAGTATTTAATCTGAGAGTTCTTTGTTAAGTAATCCAAGTGCAGGGTTTGGATGCAGAGCGTCGAACTGAAGACTCGGTGAGAAAAAATGAGACAAAATGTGTTCTTTGTGTTGTTGAAGCTATACTTCTCTTAAAATTCATCTTTAATTTGTTTATATCAAAAAGTGAACCTAATTGCACGGTGTGCAGCGTGGTTGTGGTAGGGAGGGTAGGTGTGGTGCAGCGTGGTAAGGATGTTAGGTGTGGCGCAGCGTGGGTAAGGGGGTAGGTTGGTGACTGGTGCAGACGTGGTAAGGGAGGTAGGTGTTGTAGTGCAGCGTGGTAAGGAGGGTAGGTGTAGTGCAGGTGGAAGGAGGGTAGGTGTGGTCAGCTGGTAAGGAGGGTAGGTGTGGTGCAGGTGTGGGTAATGATGGTAGTGTGGTGCAGCGTGATAGGGCGGGTAGGTGTGGGCAGCGTGGTAGGCGTGGGTAGCTGTGGTAGGTTCATTTAAATCACATGTTGTGTTATGCTTTCCGTTCGTAGCCATTTGTTCCTGTAATTGTACACATTCACGCATAAATATCGCGCATTAATGAAATATCATTTAACGCATACATTTAATAATCATTAAATACGAGGTAACCAAAGAAACGATCTGATCTTTGAGATCTATGTTTCAGTTCGATTGTCACTGAATGAACGGCTCCAGTGTTACCCTGCATATAGTTTATATAGTATATTATAGCTACTTCGTTACGGCCGCGGCGGGATTGTTAAACGTTATATTACGCAGCAAGCCAGATTTGGACGATTTTAGACCACCTCCCTTTAGCCATTTCTACTATGTGTAAATTACAGCTTTGGTAAAACCTATTATATATAGCAATCCGGCCACAGGCCACATGTATATTTACTAAACCGCACATAAACTGAATGTCACATTTAGCGCCTTCTGTTACATACTAACACAGTATTACACACTAACACAGTACACACCAGTATTAACACACTAACACAGTACAACACCAGTATTACACACTAACACAGTACACACCAGTATTACACACTAACACAGTACACACCAGTATTACACACTAACACAGTACACACCAGTATTACACACTAACACAGTACACACCAGTATTACACAGCACACACTAACACAGTACAACACCAGTATTACACACTAACACAGTACACACCAGTATTACACACTAACACAGTACACACCAGTATTACACACTAACACAGTACACACCAGTATTACACAGTACACACTAATACAGACACACCAGTATTACACACTACACAGTACACACCAGTATTACACACTAACACAGTACACACCAGTATTACACACTAACACAGTACACACCAGTATACACACTAACACAGTACACACCAGTATTACACACTAACACAGTACACACCAGTATTACACACTAACACAGTACACACCAGTATTACACCTAACACAGTACACACCAGTATTACACACTAACACAGTACACACCAGTATTACACACTAACACAGTACACACCAGTATTACACACTAACACAGTACACACCAGTATTACACACTAACACAGTACACACCAGTATTACACACTAACACGTACAACACCAGTATTACACACTAACACAGTACACACCAGTATTTACACACTAACACAGTACACACCGTATTACACACTAACACAGTACACACCAGTATTACATACTAACACAGTACACACAGTATTACACACTAACACAGTACACACCAGTATTACACACTAACACAGTACACACCAGTATTACACACTAACACAGTACACACCAGTATTACACACTAACACAGTACACACCAGTATTACACAGTACACACTAATACAGTACACACCAGTATTACACACTAACACAGTACACACCAGTATTACACACTAACACAGTACACACCCAGTATTACCACATACACAGTACACACCAGTATTACACACTAACACAGTACACACCAGTATTACACACTAACACAGTACACACCAGTATTACACACTAACACAGTACACACCAGTATTACACACTAACACAGTACACACCAGTATTACACACTAACACAGTACACACCAGTATTACACACTAACACAGTACACACCGGTATTACACACTAACACAGTACACACCAGTATTACATACTAACACAGTACACACCAGTATTACACACTTACACACTACACACCAGTATTACACACTAACACAGTACACACCAGTATTACACACTAACACAGTACACACCAGTATTACACACTAACACAGTACACACCAGTATTACACACTAACACAGTACACACCAGTATTACACACTAACACAGTACACACCGGTATTACACACTAACACAGTACACACCAGTATTACATACTAACACAGTACACACCAGTATTACACACTTACACACTACACACCAGTATTACACACTAACACAGTACACACCAGTATTACACACTAACACAGTACACACCAGTATTACACACTAACACAGTACACACCAGTATTACACACTAACACACTACACACCAGTATTACACACTAACACAGTACACACCAGTATTACACACTAACACAGTACACACCAGTATTACACACTAACACACTACACACCAGTATTACACACTAACACAGTACACACCAGTATTACACACTAACACAGTACACACCAGTATTACACGTTGCTAGCTGGTGAACCCTGTAAGGTTTCTGTTACAGCCTAAGTCGCGTGTTTTCCCTGAAATTATATTAGTGTAGGGAGGATGCGGCTTTATGGCTATGTGACTATACTCCGGTACAAATTCCTTATTATATATCTTCATGGTGAACTTTCATATTCACCGCTCCGGCTCATCATATCAAATGAATCATATTGATAGATATCTTCAAATACATGTATTTCGCATCTTCGCAATATTTGATCTGCACTTTACATTCTTCAAAAACTTTACAACTGATACTTCCTTGAGAAAATTATTTACGGATTGTTACCTTTCCGAACATTCTGATTTTACGACAACAAGTGCCCTGTGATTCAATAAGATATGTACTCAAAAATGTATCGCTAGTACGGAAGATTTATTAAGTCACAAAAATATTTTTGCTACTCAAAAAGTAACCGCTTCAATGACGGGCTAACCCGTAACCTACGAAGGTATTAATAATGGACGCTTGCTCACGATAAAAGATGATGTGAGTTTAATCTGTCTTCTTCCACTGCTACAGCTATCCCTACCAGCTATCCCTCTCTCTAGCCACCTTCTCACACGTGGCATAAGGTTAAGTCGCCACGGTGGCTCATGCCAGAGTTACGCGCCATGGTCGCCAAGGGATTGCGTAAGACTAACTGGGCGGTGCTACTTACTCTACCTGATGGCTAGACACTCTAACAAGAATACTTACTGTCGGGTGTTTTAGTGGGTGCATGTGGCTGGCTCCTGGTCCCTTGATCAGTCCCAGTCTCTAGATCTGACCAGCTGGTACTCTGCCCTGGTTAATTGTGCAGTAATTAAACTTGTATATCTCTGTAATTAGTGTGTGCTGCAGGTCTTGATTGGGTCTCACACAAACTAAGCGGGAATTAACACCGAGTGTATTGTAAGTTCCATGTAAGAGTTGCTAGAGCGCGTGTGACATACTAACATATCTAGTAACATATCTAGCATTGCTGGGATTCCCAAAATATTCATGTCATGTGTGAGAGCGGATGTTTGGAGCTATATTTAGTTCTTGAAAGCTAACCGCACTTTTACCTACCGCTGATCTGGCAATAACAAGTGATTGATAGACTTGATACTAGGGGTGGAAGGAATCACGTGACAGCCATGTGAGTGTCGGATTGGACGCTTGTTAAGATTAATTGTTTATTGATTGGAATTGCGTATGAAATAATCTAGCAGTGTTGACTCCCCGCCCGTGATCAAGTCTATAAATCAAATAATTCGGTTGTTTCTTTGAACTGGCTTACTCCAGCTCAGCTATTTTCAAAGTGCCATGATGAGAAATGGCTATAAATCCCGCTATATCTATTATCTTTAGTATGTACCCTTGGTATGTAACCCTTGGTATGTACCCACATTCTAGTGCGGTAACACACATAGTTTGCGTGTGTAACACACGTATTTGGGTGTGTTTGATGGTGGTAATAAGAACACACATAGTACACACACCAGCTAATAACTTACAGTACCTAATTCCCGACATGTCATCAGGTGCTCACCTCTCAAAATCGCGGATGGAGTGTACGGTAAAGAATGTGACTGGTGGAGCGTCGGAATATTTCTCTAACGAAATGATGGTATGTACCCGCACTTTATGTACCCCGCACTTTGCGTACCCCGCACTTTATGTACCCGCACTTTGCGTACCCGCACTTTAATAGTAGTGTACTCCAACTAGGAACCCACACTTCGGCTACCAACAATTCTTAATACCTAGCTATCCATGCTAGTCTAGTGCTGAATTTGCGATGTAAATTTACAAGTCTTAATTTTGTTGAAGTCTTAGATTGCACCTACTGTAAACCCTAAATCCCCTGCCTTAGAAAACCGTTATTGCTCTTCTGTGTTCCTCTAGACTGTACACATAAAAATCTAAATTTAATAGAAATAATTTTTTAAAAAAATTTTCATTTTTCGATAGTACTAAGTAAACTATAGGTAAAATATAAATTAATCATAAGCTAAAATGTACTAATCTTTGATTTAAAGGGGGAAAAAAGAAGAAACTTGTCATATGAGAAAATTGTCATCAGCTATTGGGAGCTTTGTAGAGTTGTACATGAAAGTATGGTCCCGGGTTTCGACGGGAATTGCGGGTAAATCGTTTTAAGGTTCCAACGATCCACCCCCCACTTGTTTTTTGGTATTAGCATTAAAAGTGTTGTTAGCCATTTATGCAAAAAATTTAAAAACTAAAGGGAGAAAAGGGAAAAAGAGGAAGGAAAAAAAAGGGACAAACAATTAATTAAAGTTTTTATGGGACATTAGATTTAAAAATTACAGCTTCAAAAATAAATCACGAAAAAATTTTAAATTTAAAAATGATAATTTGACATGACTGATGATGCAAAATAGAAATCTCCAGAATCCTAAAGTACCTTTTCAAAAAGGCGAGCTCAACAACTTACTCTTTTTCCCTCGCAAAGGGAGCCCATTTCCTTGTTTAAAAATTTTTGGGGCCCAAGACAGACTTCTTTCCCTAAAACCTCTTTAAATAGGGTTTTCATTTTTACTTTGTTCTAAATATTTGTAAACCCAAGATCAGCATTCGTAAATTAGATCTTGTTTTCTCCCTCCAAACCTTACCCCTTTTCCCTTCCCTTAAAAAGTTTACTATAATACGAATTCCTGTCGGGCGAAATTTTTTTAATTTATAAAAATTTCCTTAAATCATGAAATTCTATATTTCCTCCATCCGGAAGGGATTCCCCCCTGTTCCAGTAACCTTTTGTATCCCCTAGCCACACACACCGGTGACCTTGCTTTCTTTGACACGGGGAAATTAAGAGGCATCATGATTCGGTACCAAATTTGGGGAACCCGTGTCTGTTCCCCCTAGCAAATTTTGGAGACCCTAAAGAGTTTTCCCCAACTTCGCCACCCGTATGGAGGAAACAGGGACTTTCATTTTTGGGAAATTTTCCGGGAGGGGAAAAAGTAGGTCCCCCATCTTCCCCTCGCCTTAACTTCCTCTCCTCCCCCCCTAAAATTCACCCCCTACAATTCCATTTTAAAAAGGGGATGATTTAAATTTATCTCGCAGTTTTCTTTTTTTTTTATTTATTTGCTCCGTAATAAAGCTTCAATAATTTATGTTTTTCTGAAAGAATTTTTAAAATCTTTAACCCCTTTCCCAACGAACTTTGGCACGATCCACTTTCTAAGTGTGTGGCAATTTACTTACACCCCGGGTTTAAACTCGTAGAGATGATATTATTCGGAACATGTGAATTCTTAAAAAATTTAATTTTCGTTTTTCGGGGACAACCTTTGTCTACCGAAAATTTTTTGGGTTTCCCCTAAACTTCACAAGAATTTATAATCTAATTTATAGCGGGGGATAAATGTACACAAAAGCAATATCGTTTAGTCAACAAGCTTAAAAGTTTTAAAAGATACTTTTCAAACTGAACTCTATCTACAACAAAAGAATTAACTGCGACTGGGGCATTTAAAGTCAAAAAAGTTCCCCGGAAAGGCTCCTAATAAGATTTTTAATATGCAGAACGACTTTACCACTCGTATACCAATCTAGACCTTCAGGTTGTACGTCACTGCTTTTCACTAATAGATTCCCTTTTTTTAAAACGAATAAATTTATTTGTTTTCTTGTAAGAACAACAATTTTTTTTCTAAAAAGGAAATAACGGGTACTTTTTTGGTTTTTTCCCCTGAAAACCAAAACACTATTTAATTTATTTGTTTAAACCTTTTTTTTGTTTTGGGGATCAGATTTTAAGACAAAGAAAGGGTTTTTCCCCTGGGGGGAAATCTAGTAGCCAGTTCGCTGATTTTTTAGGGAAGTTTAATTCAACTACATGGCACCCTAATCAAAAAAAAGAAGTTCGGTCTCGCAAAACTTCTCAAGAAACGCAGATTGTGACGACCTCAAACCCATGAAATATTTGCATTTCTCTAACCCCAAACCGGTCCCTTTTTTCCCCCTACCCCCCCTTATGGAGAGGGTGGTGACGACAAAAATCCTAAACTTTCTCGACCAAAATTTGATGATAACTCCCGGGCACTGCAACCCAAACTTTTCAACAAACTTGATGACTTTTTTAATTTCCCGTGGGCATGTACACATTTTTTAACAGTAATATTTCCCCTTTTTTGTTTTTGGTTATAAAGTTTTTTAAAGGGCGGTCCTTCGTTACTCTTCATTATCTCTGACCTTATTCTTTTCTGTGTTCTACCCAAAACCCCTTTTTAGGACACTTCTTTTAAGATTTATAATACAGACTCCGAAGATAAATTCAAAACTTCTGAAAGACCGACCTTATTTTTGTACAAATACGAACCTTGATGTAAGACTCCTTGACATCACATTTAACGTGAAAATGATCACTGACGTGATTGCTTTGGGGTCTTGGGACTTAAACCGACAGTATTTAAACCCCGAAACCGTGTGCCCAAATCTTTCTGATGATGTTCACAAAAGCATTTTTCCCCTCTCCTTTTTTCCTTCCGCTTTTTTTAAAATTTCGTTCAGTTACTTTATTTTACCCGGGCTACCCAAGGGTCATTTTTTCTTTTGGTGGGGTTCACTTCTGGTATTGGGTTCATTCCCTTCCTTTCCCCTTTTTCTTTATACTTTTTTTTTTATTGTTTTAAAGAGTTGAAGGTCCCTTTAAAAATTTCCTATTCAAGTAATTAGCAATTGCTGAGTAAAAGTCATAACTCCATAATATTAACCCCCTTAAATTCCCGATTTAATTTTAAACTGATAACAGTGTTTCCCAGGTGGGAGAAGTCCCTTTTTCTCCGAGTCCCCGGTCGGAACCTATCCAAATTATGGACCATGAGAAGACCCGGCCTCCAGCGACGTTTTTTTTGAGGCCGCGTATCGATCTGATCCGCAACTTGCTTACCGCCCTGAGCCCGTCTGGGTCGAATCGATGTAAACGAGATAAAAAGCACAGATTCTTCATAAAAACAATGGATATTAGCAGCCCTTAGCAGCAATAACAGCAATGGAGGTGAAGTGACACGAGGAGTAGAATATACCCTGCTTGTGGATCATACCCGCAGAAATCCAATACCACTCCAACCTGCTTGTTACATGATCGACAGAGTAGTAAGCGCAGTGTAACGCTCTTCCTTGAGGATATACAAGTCGAGATGCTCACAACAGGGAGGAGAGTATGAGGTGTCATTATCCCAGACATCTTATCATACCTACCGACTATACAAAGTGTCGTAAGAGATAGAAATAAGAACTTCCATTTTTCTCCTTTGCCACTTCCACGTTTATTTCTAGAATTTTGTATTCAAAAATGTTAAAACTGTTTTACATCATTCCACGGTAAAACTAAATTAAACAGTATAATAATCCCATGCACCTGTCGAGATGGCACAAGAAGTGAACGGTCCTGACACAAGGCACGTTTAGCTCGGTGCCGGTCCCAGGACTATCACCAGCAATAGGTAATGTGTCTACAGAGACAAGTACGTTATGTAGGTCGCCGTACCTGGCAACCACACGTACCGGAGATACATTGGAAGGTCAGGTATGGTAGATGGTTGCAGGGAACTTGTATGAGTATTCAAGGTACTAATAATCACTAATATACTATTACTAATAGTTTGTACATAATATTTACTATTACGTTTAAAATAAACATTATAGGAAAAAATACACTAAAAATCTTCATATTAAGAATGGAATGCGTGAAATCAGGATTGAAGATATTAACTGGTGATATGCGCTTGAAATTACGGCTCAATTTTAATAAGCAATGACTGATCTGTGAAATGAACCCTTTAGTGAGTGGTAAACGTGCGACAAGTTGCGTGAGGCAGACAAAGACTTGTTGAACAAACTTGAAAGTAAAACAAATATTTGACATGAAGGGTATAAAAACAAAAAGGTATTTTAAATGTTAAAAATTTGTCTACGATTTGAAACAAAATAAACTTTGAGCCTCAATTGTTAGATTTTGAGAGCCAATTCAAAATTTGGACACGATCTTTGCAACACCCTGTAAAACTCTTATATCGTACCATTTTGCAGTGATAACAAATAACTACCATACATGAATCAACGTTACAGCATTTTATCTCATATTTGAAAAGATAATGTTTTTAAAATCTTTGATTGTATGTTTGACAAACTATGATATAATATCAGTAATCTTACTAAAAATACAATTTATACATGAATACAGAATACAAATAATAGGTTTGGTATATATATAAATATATATAAAAAATAAAAATATCTTTACCAGATGAACATCTAATGAAAGACGTAATCTTCTAATTATTATCTTAATTGCCCATAGGTAAAGTCGGATAAGTATTACATCCTTCTAGAAAGCTGACTAGGAAAAAGAGATACTGTGATTTTGCTCTTAACTCAGTCCCATACCCAGGTAATATCAGGGACAAAAGATCTCCGATTATTATTGCCAAAATCGCGATAAACCGCTATTTTTAACAAGACTATACATTAACTAAACATAAAATTTGTCGCATATAATGGAAAATCGCGATTCCGTACATGCCGCGATTTCCTTTGTCCCTGGGTAATATGAAGATAGAAATACGAACCACTATTTTATTTGTGAAATAACTACGACAGCAGTGCAAGCAGGCATGTTTTACTTGTGGGTTGTAGGTAGAACAGCCACTTTAAAATATTTGTTTCTAAAATTAGAACTCAACTTTCCATTAGAAACAACAGACAGCACCTTAAAAACGTATAAGAGCACATTTCCCAGCAATTAGTTTCATACTTTCATTAAGTTTTTGTAGACGCATTTCACTTCAACCAAAAAGCTTCACTCAATAATTAGATCCACCATTAACCTAGTTCCATGCATCACGTGACCACCAACCCATTTCTCATTACCGCTCTAGTTCACCTTGTTGAAAGAGTTTGTCCCCATTATCTGCTCACAACATTCCACTTTCATGTCACATGACCATTGTCCTCACAAGATTTAGATTCATCACGAGTCACGATATAGTTTTGAGATCAGTTCTGTGGATTACATTCTAGTAGTTTTCTAGAATTTCATCTTTTCCGACAAAACTCCAAATTATAACGTCTTTTATTTGTAAAACCTACCTACCAGTAATAGATCGATGCGCCAGGTACACCTAGTGTGCTACACTACGTAATAGATACTAAAAATAATTTGGAAGCCCTGATCAAGTTTCTGATTAGAATTAGAATTAGAATAAGAATAAAATTAAATTTACACAGAAATACATACACGAATAATAAATAAATCAAAGTTCAATCTGCGTGCAGTATATTACACATCAGTTACAAAAATTGTTACTGTAATAAATTACAAAAAGGCCGACAGTCTGTGCTCATACTTGTAGATCTCAGAACTTAATGAATAGATAAATGTAACAGATTAGTATGTGCTTTGATTATAGTATTAAAAACCGATTCAAGACGCATCTGACTAATTCCAAAAAGTCCAGATAATATATGATTACAGGGTTTTTCTTATAAAGAGAGTGGGGATAAAGGTAAGAGGATTAGAGTGGGGTAAACGAGGGTAGATACAGATATGTGCACGTGCTAGATCTCGGCAACAGCGACGTCAACTACAATGGGTGCGTTTTATCAGAATGATATATTATATGGGAAGGAGGATGGTTGGGGGGTAAAAAGGAGTGTGGCGTTTCGAAAATGGCTCATTTCAAATGAGTTAAGAGGTATTAGGCAGTTTATAATGGAGGGTTTGTGGGTGTTTGTTTTTAGGGGTTTGAGTACTTTTTTATGTTTAAGCAAGGGGGGGGGGGGGGGGGGGGGGGGGGGGGATAAAGGTAGTACACTCCAATAGGAGTGGGGTGGGGGGGGGGCGGGGGGGGGGGGGGGGGGGGGGGGGGGGGGGGGGGGGGGGGGGGGGGGGGGGGGGGGGGGGGGGGGGGGGGGGGGGGGGGGGGGGGGGTGGGGGGGGGGGGGGGGTGGGGGGGGGTGTGTGTTTGATAGAAAGATGATTTATATGGTATAGATTATGTTTGTGTTTGGGGTAGTGTGGTTGGGTGAGGTGGGGGGGTTGGGGGGTTTTTGTTGGAATGAAACCTATGGGTGGGGGAGTGGGGATTGATGTTGTTTGAGAGGTTGTTATAAGTGTTTGTTGGTGTGTGGGGGTGTTGTTGGGTGGGAAGTTGTGGTGTGTTTAGGTAGGGTGGTGTAGGGTGGGGTGTGGGGTGTGTGTGTGTGTGGTGTTGATTGTGGTTGTTGGGGTTGAGGTGGTGGTTTTGTTTTTTGGTGTTGTGGTTGTTGTTTATTTTTTGGTGGTTGTGTGTGTGGTGTGGTGTGGGGGGTGGGGGGGGTTTTGGGTGTGGGGGTTGGTTGGTTGGTTGGGTGTGGGGGGGGGGGGGGGGTGGGGGGGGGGGGGTGTGTTGTGGGGGGGGTGGGGGTGGGGGGGGGGGGGGGGGGGGGGGGGGGGGGGGGGGGGGGTGGTGGGAGGGGGGGGAGGGGGTGGGGGGGGGGGGGGGGGGGGGGGGGGTGGGGGGGGGGGGGGGGGGGGTGGGGGGGGGGGGTGGGGGGGGGGGGGGGGGGGGGGGGGGGGGGGGGGGGGGGTGGGAGTTGGGGGTGTGGGGGGGGGGGGGGGGGGGGGGGGTGGGGGGGGTGTGTTGGGGGGGGGGGGGGTGGGGGGGGGGGGGGGGGGGGGTGGGGGTGGGGGGGGGGGGGGGGGGGGTGGGGGGGGGGGGGGGGGGGGGGGGTGGTGGGGGGGGGGGGGGGGGGGGGGGGGGGGGGTGGGGGGGGGGGGGGGGGGGGTGTGGGGTGGGGGGGGGGGGGGGGGGGGGGGGGGGGGGGGGGGGGGGGGGGGGGGGTTGGGGGGTGGGTGGGGGGGGGTGGTGGTGTTGGGTTGTGGTGGTGTGGGGGGGGGGGGGGGGGGGGGGTGTGGGGGGGGGGGGGGGGGTGGGGGGGTGTGTGGTGGTTGGTGGTGTTTGGTGGGGGTGGGTGGGGTGGGGGGGGGGGGGGTGAGTGGTGGGTTGGGGGGGGGGGGTGTTGGTGGGGGATTGGGGTGTGGGGGGTGGGGTAGTTGGGTGGGGTGGGTTGGGTTGTTGAGTGTTGTTGTGTTGTATTTGTTTTGGAGATTGGGGGGATGGTTGGGGGTGGGTGTGGGGGGGTTTGGGGGTGGGAGGTGGGGGGGGGGGGGGGGGTGGCATAGGGGTAGTTGAGGGTGGGTTTTGGGTTTGGGTGTGTGTTTTTGGGGTGTGGGGTTGAGGGTTGTGTTTTTGGTTTTGGGGGGGTGGGGGGTTGTGGTGGGGGTGGGGGGAGTTTGTGGTGTGGGGGGGGGGGGGGGGGGTGGGGGGGGGGGGGTGGGGGGGGGTTGGGGGGGGGGGGGGTGTTGTTGGGGTTTGGGGGGTGTGTGGGTTGTGGATGGTGTTGTGGTTTGTGGTGTTGGGTGTTTGTTTTGTGGGGTGGTGGGGGGGGTTGTATGGGTGGAGTTTGTGGTGTTTTGGTGGGGGGTTGGGGTTTGGGGAGGGGTTGTTTTTGTATTGTGGGGGTTTGTTGTGTTGTTTGGTTTTTGGTGGTGGGGTTTAGGTGTTAGTGGGGTGTAGGATGGTGAGGGGGTTTGTTGTGTTTGCGTGGGTTGTGGTGTAGGGGGTGGTTGGGTTGGGGTGGGGAGTTTTTTTTTTTGTTTGTTGTTTAGGGGGGGTTTGTTTATTATTTTTTTTTTTGTTTTTTTTTTATGGTTAAGGTGGGTGTTAATAGAAGGGGTGGGTGGGATTTCTTTTTTTTTTTAGGTGGTGGTTTTGTGTGTGGTTGGGGGTGGAGGTTGTGTGGTTTAGGTTGGGGATGATGGTGGTTGTTTGGAAGGGAATGGATAAGGGATGTTAATTGATGAGTGGGTGGGATTTTGGGCAGGTGTTATAGGGATAGGTGTGTAGTCGGTGATTTGAATGGGAATTAAGGCGTATTATTGTTAAAAAATTAAATGTTAGAAAAAACTTCGGGGGGTAATAAAAATAAAATGGTATGATTTTAAAATATTTGTAGTGGGGGGGTTATTTTAAAAAAAAAAAAATATTGTTAATTAGTTTTTATAATTGTGGAAGATTTTTTTTTTTTTGTGAGGGATTTTTTGGTGGGGAAAAAAAAAATAACGTAGGAATGGTGGGGAAGCGGGTTTTTAAAACACAAAAATTGGCAAAAAAGGAAATATTTTTTTTTGCTTATGTTCAAAAAACAAAAGGGGGTGAGCACTTTTTTTCATGGTTGCAATTTATTTTTTTTTTTCTTAAACATTATTATTCTTTATTTTTTTTTCTATTTAAGTGATCATAAGTTCAAGCCAATCTACGGCTTGACAAGGAGGATTTTCTTGCTTTTAGGTGATTTTTATATATACTTTAGTTTCTTAGGCGGATGTTTTGAGGCATTTTTTTAAAAAAATTAAAAACTGTTATGCAGGAATACCTTGTATGATGATAATACATTGTTTTGTTTTTGTTTCATTGTCCCCCAACCTGACACAACCCCATTGGCCTGACGTTTACCCCCAATCTACGAGAAGCATAGCGTTTATTTTTATTTAGTAGGTGTTCATATTGTGTATTACTGGTAGGAGGGTTAAGTGTATATTATCCCATTAATAGTGAGTTTTAGGTTATGTAATATCTAGGATGGATTGATCTATGGGGAGTATTGGTGTTGTAATTTAGACTTGAGTCGGTCTTGCTTGGGTATCTGGTGAGGTGGTGGTGTTTATTGTTGAGAGGCGTCGGGGGGGAAGGGAGTCGTGAGAGTTGGCTAGGGAGTGGTGGGGTGTGAAAAGAATATTAATGAGTTTTGGTGTGGGGTGCTTGAGGAGGACGGAGAGAGCCCCGGGGATTAAAATTTAGAGAGGGGAAGTTGACCGTCGAGGGGGGGGGGCGGATATGGATGGCGTACTAGTGTTTAAGAGCATGGTCTACTCAGTCAGTCTTGACTGTTCCACTTTAATGATTGAGTTAGTCATGTCGAAAGTTTTCTTTCATGTCAACAGAATAACGTTAGATCGACGTGCCTTTATTTCTTTTTAGTGTTTAAATGTATATACATTGTAATTTAAATGTTTCTTTAACATTTACATTATTTCAACCTAAGATATTGATTGGATGTGTTTTGGAGGTCTGGTGAGCTTATGTGTGTTACACAGATACACACAGCCCAAGTGTTGGTTGAGGGGGTAGGGTAGTGAATGGAGGTGGTGGGGGGGGGGGTGGGGGGGGGGGTTGGGTTGGGGGGTTGGGGGGGTGGGTGGTGGGTAGGGGTGTGTTATTAGATGAGTGGATGAATAACTTGGGTGGGTGTGGTGGGGGGTTTGTGGGTTGTGTTTGAGGATTGTTGAGATGATTTTAGGTTGTTGTGTGGTTTTTTTGTGGTGTTGGTGTTTTTGGTGGGTTTTGGGGATTATGTGTGTAGTAGTATTTAATTAAATATAAGAGATTCAATACCTTTTTTTAAATTTCTGGGCTGCCAAAATCACCATCATAACATTATACACCACTCTCTTCAAATCTTCCTCCTCTTTGTAACACATTTCTTTAATAATACATCAACTTTCTTCTAATAGATATTGTAAGAACACTTACGCTGCAGTTTTAACAATCTACACATATGCGAATACTTGCATGTTATTTTAGTCTCGAATATAAATACAAACTTGAAGCAATAAATATAAATCATCAAGAACAAACAAGTCATGTATACAACACGCACTCTCTTCGTTCTAATCCAAATTTAATCGTATCCTATATCTGCAATCTTTAATGACTTAAACTTGCTTCGGCATAGTCATCGGCTTATTAATGTTGTTAAATTAATCGCTTTTTATAGACAGTATGATTATAAAAGCATGCTATTTATCAAAGATAACTGCAGAGATAAAAATTAAATAACTGTGTGTGTGTGGTTTGGATCTCATTTTGACAACAAATGTGAGTGGGTGGGTTAGTTAATTTGAAAAGGATTATTTATAAATAGTGCATGATTGGGGGATCTGGTATGCAAATGTTGCAAATATTTATTTGCTTATGTAAGAATTACAAGTTCTATTATTTTACGTTGGGGCGCGCTTTTTTGTATTATGATTTAGTGTTTGTATTTTAGAAGGTTATAATTTAACCTTTGGGATAACCATACATATACGACTGACTTACTCAGTATTTTATATCATATCGATATAGTAGATTTCTCAGACTTTTTAGATTATATATTACACTTTGTGTCGTTGACAAGTGTAATTATATGTTTTTAATCATGTCTCTTGCTATTTAACTAGGTTACTTATATGTATTACTAATAGTTTATTATCTTTTTCATTGTTGAATTGTTTATGTTTGAAGTGGAAAAAATGTTGCGTTTTGTAAATAAGCAGAGTGAAGTTGGAATGAAAATTGTTAGGAGGGGTATCCAACGAGCGCTCTATAGCCGAGAGATAGAGATTAATTTATAAATAGGGAGAGCAGATTGTGAAGGGGTGGGCGGGATAAATAATTTCGAAAAACATAAGAGTTATAGTATTGTATAACAAGAAGATAATATCATATTTGCAGGTAAAAAGGAGTAGTAATAAATAAAGTAACTATTCTAAAAGATTCATAATAATATTATTATATTAACCGATCAAATTGTGTAAGAGTATCAGTGATAAGAATTGGTCGTTTGTTGTTTGTATCGTGTGATGATAGAGTGATGCAAAGGGGGATGGTTGTGTTGGATTGTTGTGAGCTTGGGGTGTGTGTGGACGATGCTGAGTAGCAGGAGGGGTGGAGTAGGGGGGGGAGAGGTTAGAGTGCGAGGGGCGATGGGGGTATGATGCGGGGGGTGGGGAGTGGTGGGTGGAGGTGTTGGTGTTGGATGTGAATCGAGAGTGATGGGGGAGGGAGAAGCGGATGGGAGGATATGAGATGTGTCTTGTTGTGTAGTGGATGGTTGTAAAAATATAACATCGTTTTTTAAAACTATGGAGAGAGGAGGGGGGGTGTATTGACAAATATAATTAGGTGTATTCATTTACATATTTGTATTCACCGTCAATGTCTATCACAGCACGCACTCTTATCAATTTTGTCCAGCACTTTTTATCCACTTTCACTTTCACTTTCACTTTCACTTTAAATATTGAAATACCACCTCTCTCATTTACAGCTCAGTTCTTAACAATGTTACAATCACCAGCATCAAGTACAGGGATTGAGGTTCTGTGTGAATTCTTGTGAACGATGGATCCTGTATTACCACATCTTACCATAGTCATCATCACAAATATATGATCGAATCTCGACCCATCTCGAGTACAATGACAGATCCATTCGAAATCATCAACCTCCCTTAATAGCAACCAATCAACTAACCACCAAAAAATCATGCATGACATCATTAAATTTTTATGTGAATTCATGTAAAGCATATACATAGATACGGAGAAATGTTTATGGAAAGTTAAGTGTACCATTGTCTAGATCTTCTTGTTTTTAGCTTTATAGCCTTGACCCCACCTATTTTCTTTTCATTTTCAGTTCTTCATTACATCAATACTAAATACTCAACTAGATGCGCATATCAAAACTTTGAAGCTCGTAGAATCGCGCCCATTATTCTTACACAGGCAGAGCGGACAGCAAAACAATCTCGAGGAATAATTTCTATGCCATCACATATGCATTCTACTCTACTGACAACCGTTCTTGGCCAATCCGCAAAGCTTCTTGGGGCAAATCGGGGTGGGGGAACGCGACGATTTAATGTGTGTGTAATAGGAGGTAGGGGATTCATTTCTGGTGTAGGTGACAAGCGGGGAAAGCTTGAAAATGATCTCATGGTTTTTTTTTTTTGATGATTTTGACTCGTTCGACGCTATTCATAAGGATATAAGTTTTAAACAGTGTAGGGAGGTGTTGCGAGTGAGAGTCGCTGGAAAGTGAGCGAAGTGCGCGTTACTAGGGAAGGGGCGGAGGCGGGGTGGGGGTCACATGTTACCCATAGCAATTTCACTTCATCTACTACCCGATCTGTCTTTTGCACACTCAAAATATCTTTGTCACGAACGTGGAACAATTTATGAAGAAGTTCGAAACAATTTCGGAATAATGTTCGGAACAATTTAGCAAACGGCTTTTAATTAAAACAACATAAATCTGTCCCAGTTAATAACATAAATTAATGTTGCCAACTCTGTAAATTTGTATAGCAACGTTCATTTAAACTTTGTTTGTTGCTAGTGCTACTACATGTAACTGTTAAAACTGGTACTTTAAGTTTGAATGGTTGATATCTCCACTGGACAGACTGACAAACCAAACCCTCTCTCTCTCCAGGTAAATGGTTTGGTGACTAGGATGGGAGGTGAA